ATCATCACGTGTTACAGGTTTGATCCGCTTCTCCATGCAGTGAGTCAGGGTTCAAGGAGAAAGAATACCTGCCACACCCTTCGTTAAGGTCTCTCTCCGCTTTCCATGTGGGCTTCAGCTCTCACTTCAGATCCTTTCTGCATCCTCGGGATCCACTTCCCTCCTTGTTCTTTTCTTCACGTGGCATTCCAGTGTCTGGACTTCAGATCTTGCAGAGGCTGTTTGTCTGTTGTTCATCACTGCCATCTTCCTCTTTATGACATCTTTTGAAGATTAGAAATTCTTTTTCTTTTTTTTTGGTACCAGGGATTGAACTCATACCCTCGTGCTTGCCAGGTAGGCACTTACAGCACTGAGCTAAATCCCCAGCCCCAAGTAGAAATTCTTTTTTTTTTTTTAAGGTCCTGGGGATTGAACTCAGGGACTTTGCACTGAGCTACACCCCAGCCATTTAAAATTTTTGTTTGACAGAATCTCAGTAAGTTGCTAAATTGTCTGATCTGTGCTAGAAGTTGCATTGTTCTGTCTCAGCTGCCCAGAATACTGGAATTATAGAACTACACCACTGTTTCTGGCTTGGTGTTTGTCTTTCTGAGTATTATTTTGCTTAACATGATGATTTCCCATTGCATCCATTCCCTTGCAAGTGATAAAATTTCATTTTTCTTTTTTTAAAAAATATTTAAAAATTTTTCATTTGTACATGTTTGGGTGTATAATGATTACATTCATTGGGCGGGTCATTCTTTTTATGCCTGAGTAATATTCCATTGTTTACATATACACATATTTTCTTTATCCACTCAGCTGTTGATAGACACTTTTCTTGGTTTTATATTGTGAATTATACTACAATAAACATGTGTATGAAGATATCCTTATAGTTTGCCATCCTTAATTCCTTTGGTTATATACCTAGGTGTGGTATAGCTGGATTAAATGGTAACTTTTTTTTTTTTTTTTTGTCTTTTTCATTTTTATCGGTACCAGGGATTGAACTCACGACTGCCTGCTTTCAATGCAGGTGCTTATGCCACTAAGCTAAATCCCCAGCCCGGTAACTCTATTGTTAATTTTTTGAGAAGTTCCATACTGATTTCCATAATGGCTGTACTAATTTATGTCCCCATCAGCAGTGGAGAAGGGTTCCTTTTCTCCTTTGTATCCTTGCCAGAATTTATTGTTTTTCGCTTTTTTTCTTTTGTACTGAGGATCAGGACTTTTATAGTGAGGGACATCAGCCCTTTATTTTTAAACATTGAGACAAGTTCTCATTAAATTGCTTATTTGGCCAATCTGGGCTTGAATTTGTAACCTTCTTGCCTTAGCCTCCCAGAGTGCTGGGGCTACAAGTGTACACCTGCACACCCAGCTTGTTTTCTATGTTCTTGATGATAGCCATCCTGCCTGGGGTGAGATGGAATCTCAGTGTAATTTTGATTTGCATTTCTCTTTTTAAATTTATTTTTATTTTTTTTTTGGTCTTTTTCATTTTTATCGGTACCGGGGATCGAACTCATGACCGCCTGCTTGCAAGGCAGGTGCTTATGCCGCTGAGCTAAATCCCTAGTCCTTGCATTTCCCTCATGGCTAAGAGTTTTGAAAATTTTTTCCTATCGTTGGCCACATGTACTTCTTCTTTGAGAAGTGTCTGTTCTAGAAGTGTGTATTCTAGTGTCTGAGAAGTGTATATTCTAGATATTAATCCTATGTTGGAAGAGCAACACAGAAAGACTTCTATTCTATAGGCTGTCTTTTCATTATTTTAGTTGTTTCCCTGGCTGAGCAGAAACTTTTAAATTTGAGTAGTCTCATTTGTTTATTCTTGTTATTTTTTTCCTGTATTATTGGAGTCCTCTTTCAGATTGTCTTAGTCTGTGCCTATGGTTGCAAGCGTTTTCCTTTGTTCTGTTTTTTTTTTTTTTTTTTTTTTTTTGTAGCAGTTTCAAAGTGTTGAGTCTTATACCTAGGTCTTTGTACAGGGTAAGAGATAGGGAACTGGTTTCAATCTTCTATGTATGGATATCCCAATTTTTTCAGTACATCCAGGCTGTCTTAGTCACTTTGCTGTTACTAACACACAATACCTGACTTGCATAAGTTAAAGAGGAGAGGTTTATTTTGGCCCACAGTTTTTAGAGGTTTTGAGCTCTGATCCAGGAAGGACATGGGGAAGGGCCTAAAGAAGAAAGCTGCTCACCTCATGACACTCAGAGAGCAGAGAATAAAGAGAGGAGTTGAAAAGGCAGATGCACCTTTCCAGGACATTTCCATAATGACCTTCCTCTTTTGATCAGACCTCACCTCCTAGCAGCGAGTCAGCTATAATCCAACCTCCTTCCAAATACATGCAGTTTGGGGGACCATTTTATTTTCTTGTGTTTGTTTGTTGTGGAGACCGTCTCACTGTGTAGCACAGGCTGGCCTTGAACTCGCATCGATCCTCTTGAGTGCTGGAATTACAGGCTTGTGCCACCAAGCCCTGCTACTTTAGGTAATTTTTATAATACGTTTGTAAAATAGTGATTATCAGTGAACAAGGATAGAGGCCCAGAAGGGACACATGATTTCTGAATATCATTTGGCATTTGATGTGTGTTGGACCTGGGATTTGCAGCCAAGGGTATTTGACTTTGAAGTCTATACTTTTATCTACAGTGGGCCACAGGCAGAACTGGCCCTTTAAGGAGACTCTACTGGTGTCAGGTCAGACTGATGAGCATAGTTCCCTCCAAGAATCCCTTGTATGGAATGATGGGAAAACAGAGACCCTTAGAAAAATGTCATGTTCCTGGCTGCCCTCTGCACTGCTGTGGTTCTAGCTGGCTATGGAGTTATGTCACTGTTGTCATGTTGGCGGAAGTTAACAGACACAGTCCCTGTCTGGCTCCTGGCGCCTTTCCCTGTGTGGTGACTACCTCATCCTGGCCTTCCTGGAAAGGGGTATCACGGCAACTTCAACTGTATGGTCCAGACAGCCTGAGTCACTGTGGCCTTGGCCAGGGTGGGGGGGGGTTGGTTCGGCTTCTCAGGATCCCACTTCAGTTGACTGCCAGAGATTGACTGTCACCACCTTCCGTGGTCACTTCTAGCGTCACTGTCTGTCTCTGACCCTGTGGGGCTGGCTCAGCTTTGTGAACCCTGGCCGAAAGGCGGGGGCAGGGAGAAACTTGGCAGCAAAGCCAGTGACATCAGCACTGGTACTGTTCAGGGGAGTCGGATGGGATGTTGGAGAGGAATTGGTGGCTGCAGACCTCAGCCTCCTGGCTGGTGCTTGGGACACAGCTGTTTTGATTGTTTTTTGATAGCTCTTTCATGAGTCACTTTTCCAGGCCGTCAGACTGTCCTCTAGGACCCAGAAAGAACTGCCCTCATCAGCATGTTAGTGCTTCTGCTCAAAGGAGTCATCTGGCACCAAGTCAGATTACTCAGTGGCACACTTTACCCAAACATGCCCTGATCTGAGACCAGGAAAGTTGTGCTGGGTGTCAGGATGGAAGGGTGAATGCTGGGGCTTGTGTGGGGTGAGTAGGAAGGCTGGCCATTTTTTGTTTTTTGATGCTGGGAATTGAACCCTGGGCTTTATGCCTGCTGAGCATGAGCTCTACCACTGGGCCCCTGGGCTGATCTTCATTTTCCAGGTAACTAGCCAACTTCTGTTAGATTCTTCACTGTCACATTGTTTTACACATTCTTGAGGACCTCTGCCTAAGTGCCTGCACAAAAAGCGTAGGAACTGGGGGCATGTGTGTGCTGGTAAGTGTGGCACACATTTTCCAACAAATGGAGAGAAAGCACACATCCACTCCTGATGGCAGCTGAGCTGAGTGCATATCTCTTGAAATTTCTTTTGTTGTACCTGCTGCTCTATGATTCTTCCAGTTGTACCTGGATTCTAGATGATCTTATTGCCAACCTTATTTATTTATTTAATACAGGGTCTCACTGTGTAGTTCAGGCTGGCCTTGAATTCACTATGTAGCCCAGACTGGCCTTGTACTATAGGTGATACTCCTGCTTCAGCCTCCTGAGTGCTGAGATTATAGGCTTGTGTTACTATACCTGGTCCTTACCCTTTATTTATATTTATTTATTTATTTTTCCTTTTTGAGATAGGGTCTTATTATGCAGTTTAGGCTGGCCTTGAGCTCACTTTGTAGCCCAGGCTGGTCTCGAATTTGTAATGACCCTCTTGCCTCAGCCTCCCGAGTGCTGGGATCACAGGTATGTGCCACCATGCCCGGGTGTCTTAGTTACTTTTTACTCGTTGCTGAGACAAAATACCTGAAGCCCAAGTTGGGAAAGGAAAGGTTTATTTCTTACAGTTTTTTGGAGGTTTCAGTCTACCACACTCAGTTGTCTCCAAGACAGGCAGGCATGGCTGGGCTGCAGTTCATGGCGGCCTCCAGCAGCAAACTCAAACCAGCAAAGAGCAAGACACACCTTCTTCCTGCCATTATATCACATCCTGGCTCCACCCCTAAGTGGGTGGAGCACTGACACCATCAATCCAAGCACTATACAATGAACGAATAACAAATGCAGAGTTCAAACTCATGAGGCCTGGGGGACACAGACATAAACCATGATACCGGGTTTATCCCTAATTTTAGTAAAAGGCGAAAGATTTATACGATCTGAAGAGAAACCAGAGTATACCCCTAATTTTAAAAAAATGCCAATAAACTAAGGCTTTTCCTGGCTTCCAGAAGCCCACAATTAACAGGACTTGTGGAATTCAACATAGTGTGCCTCTTAAAGTTAAGGCTGAAAGACAAAATGTGCAGCTCCAGAATCCCTTCCAGAGCCTTCTGCCTTCAGGCCTCAGAGAGTGTAAATTCTCCAAAGCTGGCTGCTTGCTGAGGCCTGCAGCAGGACAGGGTGGCAGGGCACTGGTAGTTAGTTCTGTCCCTCCCTATGGCATAGATGGGACTGTTGTATTGCATAGTAGTTGCCCAGTCCTGCAACATAATTTACGTGATTTTCTCTTCTTTTCCTAGATATCATGACTGTGACAGATTTGCTGGAGTTTGTCCACGTTGCGGAGGAACCTTCCTTTTAGGGGTGACCACATTCATCTGGGTATGCCTGCGCTACCCTGGGCCCATGGACCTGAAGGTGAGAAAGCATCTGGTGGGCCCTGCTTTGCTGCCATACAGCTGGCTGTGTCTCCGTTGGGCTGTCCTCCTGGGTTTGTTGGAAAGTCCTCATCTGGGTGTATGTCCCAAATGAGAGTAGATGTGGTGCTGACCTTGGAGATGTGACTGTGACTCCTGTGAGGGTCCTAGTGCCTGTTTGGGAAGGACAAAGGGTGAAGGGCAGATTTGTTAACACAACTGCATGGCAGTGGGATTTTGGGTTAGGTTGGCCCCAAGCCAGTCTTCTACTTCTTGCCCAGAGGTGTGCAATTTAGTTTGTTTGTTCTTTGTTACTGCTGCGCCCCAACTTGCTGAACCATGTGAAAGGCTCCTGGGCGCCCTGCCTTGGTTAGGGACGAGCTTGCTGTCAGACTCAGCACAGCTGTGTCCTCAGCTGGAGCAGCCTCCTGGAGGTCCAGGCTATCTGTGAGACTGGCCTGACCATCTTTGGGTAGAGACAGATTTGTCACTGAGAATATTCCTCTCCCATGACAAAGACTGCCCCAGAGGAAGTTCCTGTGTGTCTGGTCTGGTTTCTGCAACTCCCTGAGATCGGCCTGCTCACCAGCCTCCATCCACATGACTGATGGCAGTGGGTCCATGGCTCTGGGCTACCTACTACCACGTACACCTGGAGTGTATGCGATGCCTCACACTGTGCTCCTGCCCAAGGGCCCAGCGTCACTGCCTGCCTTGGCTTTTACCTCTGACGATTCTGCATGCTTCTGAGTTTGGCCACAGGTACTATATTGAGGTTGTTTCCTCTAAAAGTACCCCATTCTTTTCCCCAAAAGTCCTTCTACCTTTTTCTCAAGACCCAGTGTAGGCATCATCTTTGTCAGATTGAGTCCTGCAACCTCCAGAGGTTCCTGCTTTCAGCATTCATGGTACCTCCACCGCCATGGATGCTACACTCTAATGAAGCAATGTGCTTCATTATATCTCAGTATCCCTGGTACAGAGCACTGAGCCTGGAGTATAGCAAAGGCTTAGTAAGTACTTATCAGTTTGAACTTCTGGACAGTGATTTACCTGCCCAAGGAGGCTGTGGGCTTTTGATGGTGCCTGATTGTCTGCTGCTTGTGCCTCTGAACCAGCTGTGCAACAGGCTTGTGGACTTGAACTTGAAATAAGTGTGTTCAGCCTCCTGTTCATAACCACTGCTGGCTGCTCTGCAGTAATCTATCCTAGCATCGATTGGCACTGAGGGCAAGCTGCACTTGTCTCTGTCCTTAGCTGGGTGCAGGGTTGTTCTATGCAATAAGTGCTGTGCATGGCACAATATGGGGAACACCCCAAAAGCTCTGCTGTGCAGTGCAGTGGTCTGCCTGGGTGGGGCTGACTGCCCCCTACACGCTGAAGCCCCAGTGCCTTGTACTGGAATTAGAGAAACAAAGTTCTGTGACTGAGGGGGGGATGGCTTTGCCGTAGAATCTGAAGGAGAAGCCATGGGATTCTGTTAGGTACTCCTCAGGATCATGTTCCCTGGAGGATTTACCTGCATGCTCCTCTGATTGGATAGATGAGTGAGCGAGGATTGAAAGCCTCGTCAGCATCAGCAGTAGCTATATTCATGGAATATTGGCTTTGGGTTGGTAGAGCTGGGGGAGGGGCCCCAGGCTCAGAGAGGTTTATAGTTTAGTTGAAGAATGGATAACACAAGCAATTCAGGAATAGGCCCTGATGGAGTTTCTGCCTGTGTATGTTCCTTTCTAGTTATGTCTGAGGCTTGTATAGATTATCCCATGTTCCAGGATAAAGGTCCAGTCAGAAGCACCTTGGAGAACTAGGATTGGGAGTAGCTGGTATGGTGATAGTTAATGATCAGGTGTTTCTGGCTCCTTGGCTTGGCTCAGGATCAATTTTGCTGTTGCTGGATGATTTTCAGCATCCAGCTTACCTCTCTTTCAGCCTGCCAGTCTCAGCCTCCCTGCGAGCACAGGGTGGAGGTACTGTAGCAGTGAGGCCTCAGGCTCCTGCTCCTGGGATGTTCTTCTTTCCCATCGCTGAAGTGAGCCCGAAGGGAGGGGGCAGGCAGGGAAAGGAATTAGCCTTCCTGCTGTCTCCTCCAGGGCCTGCCACGGAGAAAGGGGCTTGGAAACCAGAGTCCATCCGTCCCCCTGGGCCACAGTCTAGGATCCTCATAGTGGCTGGCACAGAAACGGACCCCGCCCACCTCCCTTTCCTGCTCCCCACAGAAACTTCCTGCCCTTAACCTCTGGACCGCCCCACCCCTCCTTTCTGTCCCCATTCAGCTCTGTTTGGCTGGGGCCCTACAGGGAGCTGCCTGAGCTGCTAAGGGGGAGGAGAGGAGGCAGGATTGCCCTGTGGAGACTCAGTCTTCCCCTCCCCGCGGCTCAAGATGTTGTCATCCTGGAGACTGAGGCCCCTGGAGAAACGTACTCAGCTCCAGCCTGCTATCCAGGGGACCATTAGGCCATCTCCTGTCTCTGGGGTGTTATAGCCCCATTCTTAGGATGGCTTGGCCATCACCAGAGAAGTCTGTCCCCTCCCAGTGCCTTGTCCCCCACCCCCCAGGAAACCTGTGCAGAGAGCTTTTGTTAGGTCAGACTGGTCCCGGAGCCATCTGTTGGTGCCCTGGCAAGTGTGAGGTAGGAGCCCTATGTGCTGGCTGCTGCTTTCTGCCTAGGAGATGAAGGACCAGATGTACCCCTGCAGCCCCTGGTCCCAGTAGCTCTTGGGCAGGTATGTCCAGAAGTAGCTACTCTCTTTATCCCTCGGCTTAGGGGCTGGTAGGGTCCCTGCTGGGATCCACTAGACTCTTCAAAGACCCCTCCTTTTAGCTAGCTCTGTCCGCTGTCACTGGCTTCTTCCTTCCTCCAGCTTCCTGGCTCTGCTCAGCCTCCTAGAAGTCACCGCTAGAGCCTTCTCAATGGCCAGGCCTCCCCCTCCATGCAGGACAGGTTGCTATTAATAACACACCACTGTAGTCCCTTCCTTCTTCCTGCAGCTCTGTGTGGAAAGAGCTGTTTTGGTTCAGCACCATGCTGGGAGCCTCTGAGTGATTGGGGGAGCTCTCACTGATGGTGGGTTCACCCGCAGTTGCCTATCCAGTGACCTGGGGGCAATGGACAGGTAGTCTGGAAAAGAACGGGTACTTATGTACCCTAGGGGATGCCTGGATATCAGTAGTTGTGCTCAGGGCCCCAGGCTTTTGTCATTTCTGCCATCTTTCCATCTATCTGTCCTCCAGCTGCACATCATCCGTCTCCTCACCCTGTAGTGGCTTCTTCTGAACAGTGAGCCAAACTCCTGTACATCTAGCAGAGTATTGGGCAGATTTTTCTCTTCTCAACCCTCCTTTCTCCTCCCTCTTCCGCCTTCTCCTCCCTCCCTCCCTCCCAGGGCTGCTGTTACAGCCTGCCTCTACCACCGCCACTCCTCCTCCCTCCCTGAATCTGCAGCATGACTGGAAATAGGCTGAATTAATCAGCAGATTGAAGCTGTGCTCTGCTGCACCCGATTCTCAGCAGCGCCTGCCCTACAACTCTTCATTCACATAGCCCTCTCCCCTCTTCTCACAACTTCTGTGTTCTGCCTCTCCCCCTCTTTTTGAGGGTGACATTGGACGTTCGCTCGTGGCTCAGGCTCTGCCCCATGCTCTTTAAGCAGGCAGAGCTATGGGTGCCTCATCAGGGCAAGCCCAGCACAGTGAGTATGCCAGTATGATTTTATGGTTCTCTTCCTACCTCCTTCCCCGCTTAGTGAGAGTCTTTGGGTTCATGGTTGTCTAACGATAAGCAGAATGGAAGGCAACTAGAATGAGTGTGATGTTACCAGGATCTTGGAAGGAGATTGGGAATGAGAGCCAGAGAGCGTGTCTTAAAGTTGCCAGCAAGGTGCCTGAGTTGTTTAGAAGAGGCTGGGTGCACAAGCCTCCCAGAAAGGCATCCTACTAACAGATGCCATGAGCCAGGTCCCAGGCACAGTTAACAGAAACTTGGGGGCCTGGATGCCAAACCCTCTTGGGATCAGTGACGGGGCTTTCCCCGCTCCAACTGCATGGCTCACTGTGCCAGGAGTCATCAGGGCTGGAATAATTCCCTCCTGGGCATTGGTGGCTATAGGAGGTGAATGAGAGTTTTGAGATTGCCGTGAGCCTGGAAAAGTGAGGTAGAAGCTGCAGCAAGCTCTCCTCTGCCTTGGGTTCACCTGGCTGCAGATGCGGCTCGTTGTGCCTCGTCAGACTGAGAAGCATAGGCAGTGGCTGACTGCCTCAGTGACTTAGGTGATGAATTCAGCTTTTGTCCCCTCTCTGCTTGTACCAACTAAGAGGGTTATGATGGGGGAACAAGAGAAGGAGCCCATTGTAGCTGGTGGTTATCTGTTGTTGTCAAACCTTAGGTCAGATCTAAATTTGTAAGTCAGCCTAGGAGCTTTGACTCTGTTGTCGCTGATACAAAGAAAGCAGTTACTATGTGGGAGAACCTCCGTGGGGACCTGCAAGGATGGGGGCTGTGGGCCAGGGGCTTTTGCTCTGTGTCACCTGAGAAATTGACGAGGTGGGTGTAGGAGAGCTCTGATACCAGCTCTCCAGAGGTTCCTGAGATCCTCTGGTGCTCAGCTTTGTACCTTGACAGTGGCTCCTGCTCAGCAGCAGATTTCTGTGAATATGATTTGGAGAAGAGTTCTTTCACTCCCCTGCTACACCCCCAAATTCTGAACCCTGACAGAATGGGGAGAACAAGCCCAGCTCGCATGGGTGTCAGTTTTACTCTAGTCAAGACTTCTTCCCAGCGTTGAGTTATGCACTCTCTTGTCTGCTTGAGCTGAAGGACTTACAACATTAGGATGGAGCTGGCTCTACCTGAAAAGCTTCAGTGTCCTCCCTGCCTGGTTCCTCTGGGACAGAGACCTCATTTTGGGCCCCAGGAATGTCCCTGGAGGTACCTGGCAGTGCAGTAGGGTGGGAGGTTTTAGAATGTGAGTAATATCAGCATCTCTTGTTACCTTTTAATGTTCTTAACACCAGGTCCAGTCTTTCCTCACCCTTTCCCCAACCTCTAGCAGATGTAAAAAGCAGAGCATCAGACTATGTGTCTATTCAAGTTGTTATTTCTCAGATAATAGGAGCTTGCTCCTGTCTCCTTGAGGACGCCCAGACACACAGGGTGCCCTGCCTCTTCGCTGAGAAGGGCTGGTGGAAGCTGCTCCTCACCCACCCATTCTGAGTCTTTCCCCAGAAGTAGACTATCTTCCAAGCTGCTTAGCTCTGGCTCTTCCGTCACATGGGAGAAAACTGAAGCAGGACAAGGAAAAGCAGCATTTTGACTCCTGTCGTGGGTCCTTTTGGTGCAAAGAGAGGAGTAACCTAAACAGTCTTGGCAGTTGGGTCAGCTCTGTTGAAGGCAGAGTCCTTACCACAGGCCAGCCTGTGCGCGCAGGCACTTCCTTTGAGCAGCATGTAATTAGAGAATGGCTTATTTTCTTTCTGTTGTGCTGTCTTTAATCCCCTGTCTGGACTCGGTGCCCTGACCAGACATACCATGTGGGGGCAGAGGTATGCAGACAGCTCTGTAGGTCCTCTGCCCTGGAAGCATCTGCCACCCTCTGGCCTGTGCTTCATGCATCTGGAGAGGAACAGGGTACCTGGTGTGGGGAGAGCAAGACAGCAGTGATGGCTGGCTAGCCGAGAAGGTCCTGGCTGTGCTGCTTCCTAAAAGGAGGCAGCAGAGATCAGCAGGACAGCCGCTGTTGCAGTCCGAGGGGGTCCACGAGTGTCCTAGGTCTGCAGGCCTGGCTAATGCCTCCTTGCCCTGTTTAGCCTTTTCTCTGCCTTGCTGGAAGCTATTCTTTCCTGGATGTGGGGAACTCACCACGCTGAGCAGCTTCGCAGGTAATCCTGCAGCCCTGTGCAGCTGTCCAGCTCAGCTGGCCAGCCCTTCCTGTCTCCAGCATGTTGGAGGTGTGCCACATGGATAACTACCTGTCCATCCCAGCAACTCTTAAATTCCTTTGGGATCGAGGGCAGGAGGGCCAGTTGTGATGGGGTTTTTCAATCTGGCCTCAGATCTCTTCTTCCCTTACTGGGGTAGAGGTGGGGTGGATCCGGGACCACTGCTTTGACCCAGGCTGTAGATGTGAACCCTTGGACTCATCTTCCCTTTCCTTGTGTCTTCCTGCATTTGATCCTTCCCATGCCAGGCACTCTGCGAGTCTGTGGACAGACTCAGCTTCTCTGGTGTTCATTTGTCTGGGACCCGCCGGGGAAGCCCAGGATCTTGTAAAGGGAGACAGGTGCTTTGGGATACAGTATTTACCAGGCCGCTTTGTAGGCCCCCTGCCCAGAGGCCATTTCTTCCTGAGCTGAAGTAACCAGTTTATCCCCAGTGAGAAACAGCACCTCTTATCTCTATAATCCACAGGGGCCACATCAGAGAATGGGATTAGGTGAGATTTAAATTAGGATGCTGGAAATTTTGTGACTGAGCCCGTTTTGGAAGCTAAGGCAGCTAAAGGCAGATGACAGTGGGATTTTACTCAGCTGTGTGGCACTGGGACCCTGCCCATCAGGCCCAGCAGCCCCTGAGTTCTGGAGGTGCCCATGCCAGGCAGCCAGGGCAGAGGCACCTGTGGACAGAGGCAGAGCTGAGGAAGTGCAGCCCACCAGCAGGCAAAGCCAGCACAGGCTCCGGGAGAGGGCAGCTCTGTGGGTTATCCAAGGAAAGGAGGGGATGGCAGGGAGCCACTGGCACTAGGTGGCCCAGCTCCGTGACTGAGGCCTAGAGACCTCAGTAGAGAGCCCCGAGTTCCTTTCTGGTGCTCAGGTCTGGGAATTGGCTGCTTTCGCTCAGGAATGATTCCTGATGGACGTGCGGGTAGCAGCAGAAAGACCACTGCTTCAGGCCCTGCCTCTTTTGGACAAGGGGGAGAGTGTTTACCTTTGTACCCTGTGGCCAGAAATTTGTGCACCATAGCAGCCTGGCATTGGCTAAACCCACCAAAGTTTTAATTCAGTAAGCCTAGGGCGGGGCCTGGACATGCAGGGCTTAAAAAACTCCGCGTTACTGCTGATTTGGGGTTGACCAATGTGTTCTCGGACTCAGTGAAGCTACTTGCAGGTTCCTTTGTTCACTCTTTCATTCAGCAGCTATTCACCAAGCCAGTATGTGCCAGGCACTGTCTTCATTGGTTTGGGGGGGCGTATGAAGATGGAAGAATTCAGCATCTATTTTCAAGGAATTTCCAGTCTAGTGGGAGAGCCAGACATATAAATCTATAATTACAATGCCATAAGCTGCAGGCTGAGAGCCAGGTTGCCGAGGAGTCATTGGAATACAAGTCTTGCTGAAGTACAGCCCTGGGTTTTGGGAAAATGTCCCAGAGGAGATGACATTTGAGTTGTGTTGAAGAAGCAAGCATCTGGGATGCTGTTTCCTGAACAGGTGTTAGCACACGAGCTGGAGAAGCAAGGCCTGGGGCAGGAATAGCAAGGGGCTGAGGTCACACATCTCACATCTCCAGGGGCCTCACAGAACTGGCAAGTGGATCTGGACTGGACTCCAAGGTAAAGGGTGTCAGCTAGTGTCTCATGCTTACCCTGGCTGGGGCGTTTGCATGGGGTGTCACCCTGGAGAAGAGAAAAGCTGGAAGTGGGAAGGGCAGTGTAGAGGCTGGGGATGCAGAGACCGGGATATTGCAGAGGTCGCTGGGTAGCAGTAGTATGGGAGGAAAAGTGATCTGGCAGGGTGTTGGTGCCACTTTGGATTTTGACATCCTGACTCCCGTTTCCTGCAGAAACAGCAGAGAGGCAGGTCAGTAGTGAGGTCTATACTGTGAGCAGAGGTCAGGCGAGGGGTGAAATGTAGGAGTTGTGTATTGGTGATTGGTGTGTCCATGACTATGGCCAAGATCACTCCGGAAATGTACAGCAGTTGAAAAATTGCCTCAGGAGGGGCTGCTGGGTATAGAAGGAAGCAAAGGGCTAGGGTTCAACAAATGGAAGCCGTGAGTGGGAGTCTGAACAAGGAGCAGCCTGGCTCTGAGGTCCCCTGTGTCTGGTTCCAGTGTCACCTGGGACCATGCTAGCTGGCTGGGATTTCAGGAATAAGGAGGAGCTGAGGTCTTGTTCTTCCCTGGTGACAGCTACATTTTTCTAAAATTATGTCCTTCCTAATGTGTGAGTGTTATAAGACCTCTTAAAAATGGCGGTATTGGTGGTGGTCGGTTTATTCTTAATGTCTTTCCTAGGAGCAATGAAAGGCTGGTCTCTCTAAGTTGGTTCTCTCTCTGTTGAGTATATAACCCAAATGTAGTGGTGCATGCCAAAATCGCAATTGTTTTGGAAGCTGAGGCAGAAGAATGAAAAATTTGAGTCCAACCTGAGCAACTTAGGGACTTAAGGTGACTCTGTCTCAAAATATAAAATAAATGCCAGGCATGGTGGTGCATGCCTACAATCCCAGTACTCAAAAGGCAGAGGCAAGAGGATCAAGACAAGCCTGGGCTACACAGTGAGTTCAAGGCCAGTCTGAGCTACACAAGGAGACCTTGTCTCAAAGAAAAAACAAAAAACAAAATAAGAAAAAGACTGGAGAGGTAGCTTAATCCCTGTCCGTGAGGTGCAGAGACAAACGGTGGTCTCCCCAGAGGCAGCACCTGAAGAAGCAGTCTTTCCTCCTCGACGTACATTTCCATCAGGAAAAGTTGAGCTGAGCACAAGAAGTAAGTATTTAGACTTGAGGCATAAGAGGGGGAACTCAAAGTGCCTGTCCTCTGAGGACTCCTGGCAACAGTCTGTGTTCAGTCCCCTATACTGATAGACAGACAGACAGACAGACAGACAGACAGACAGATAGGACTGAGAATATAGTTCAGCACATGTGAAGTCCTGGGTTCTATGTCCAGTACTGCTAAAAAGAAAAAAATGTGAGTTCTAAAAGATTGGCACCTTTGAGGTCAGCAAAGAGATAGATAATGAGAACAGGCTGTGTGGCAATAGATTGAGAGGTAATTGAAAGGCAAGTTAGAAAACAGAAGAAAAAGTGTTTTTTTTTTTCTTGTCTTTTTCATTTTTACCGGTACCAGGGATCGAACTCACGACCGCCTGCTTACAAGGCAGGTGCTTATGCTGCTGAGCTAAATCCCCAGGCCCCAAATAAATGTTTTTTAAACTTGGTTTTATTTATTTATTTTTATCTTTTAGAGACAGGGTCTTGCTGCGCAGTTCAGGCTGGCCTTGAGCTCACTTTGTAGCCCAGGCTAGTCTCAAACTCACAGCAATCCTCCTGTCTCAGCCTCCCAAGTGCTGGGATTACAGGCATCCATCACTATACCTGGCTAGTCCCAGCACTCAGGAGGCCGAGGCAGGAGGACTGCAGTGAGTTCAAGGCTAGCCTGGGCTATATAGTGAGTTCAAGTCCAGCCCGAATAATATAGCAAGACCCTGTCCCAAAAACCAACAACAAAAAACCCACAAAACAGCAACAACAAAAAAGAGTACAGGACTGTACTCTTGATTGTTTTTAAATTTGGTGGTGATTTCACTGTAGTTATACCCTGGGGGTGGGGTGTGTGTGTGTGTGTGTGTGAAGAGCTTGGAGAGCAAGGAAGGTGAGGGCAGGAATGGACGTGGGTGGAGAGAAGGGAGGGGTCCAGCTGCAATGGATGCCCCTTCTGGGCAGGGACCCAGAGCCAAGGCCCTGCTGATCACATATGTTTCCCTGCAGGGCGAGCCTCCGTTGGCCCTGGGCCTGTCCACGTGCAAGGCCCTGAGTGTCCTGAAGGAGCAGCTGGAGGCCGCATTAGAGGGACACCTCAGGGACCGGAAGAAACGGCTTACATGGAAGGTGAATCTTCTTCACAGGCATCCAGAGCCTGGGTGGGATAAGAAAAAGCTGGAGAGGCCTCTCGGGGGGCTGCGCTGTGCCCTGTCCTTGTGGGCAATGGGAGACCCAACCAAGGCACATGAAGAACCAGAAGTAGCTGGGTGTGGTGGTGTACAGCTGTAATTACTCTGCTCTGGGAGGCTAAGGTGGGAGGATCACAAGTTCAAGACCTGCTTGGCCAACTAAGTGACTTAGTGCAACCCTGTCTCAAAAATTTAAAAAGGGCTAGTGATGCAGCTTGAGGAACACCTTGGATTCCTTTCCCTGTACTGTAAAAAGGAAAAAGGAAGCCAAGGTTCCTTCTCAGGGTGATGTCCTGACCCCATGTGCTACAGGACCCCAGCCAAGGTTACAGGGATTGGACCAAGATAGCCATGGGGACTGACTGGGGAGCTACGAGGCAGGGGAACCCGCCAGATGAGAGCTGGAGAGGCCACCCATTGCCTTTCTGCCATTAATCCCCAGGAGGCATGGAGAAACAGCTTCTTGCACCACAGTAACCGCTGCTCCTGCTTCCACTGGCCTGGGGCCTCGCTGATGTTACTGGCTGTGCTGCTGCTGCTGGGCTGCTGTGGAGGCCAGCCAGCTGGAAGGTAAACAGGGCCTGCAGACTTGCGAAGTGCCCCACTCTGTGCCCCTTGGGCACTCCAAGGCCCTAAACAGGCTGCTGCCCCTGAGCTCTTGCCTAAGTGGGCTGTTGGGTGAGACCCTCCATCTCTTGAGTCAGGAACCAGATGAGACACTCTTCAGAAGGCACTGGGTGGAAAGGGGGTTTTGGACCTGGCACTGGCTGGGCGGAGGGTCTTTGCCCCCTGGAATGACACTCTATGCCTTGCATCCCAACACCAGCCATGGGGTGGAGCTGGTCAACGCCTCCGCGCTCTTCCTGCTGCTGCTGCTCAACCTCCTCCTCATTGGGCGGCAGGATCGGCTGAAGCGCCATGAGGTTGAGCGCAGGCTCCGGGGGATCATTGACCAAATCCAAGGTGAGGCAAGAGCCAGGTATGTCGGGGGAGACTCCCTGAGACTCCCTGCCAGTGCTCAGCACTTGGGGTGGCCCATGGTCAGCATTCCAGAGGCTGTCTTCATTGCCAGTGTTAGAAGGATGCTTTACTCTCTCTTGAGCAGGGCACTGAGGTCTGTGGGAAGCCTGTGGCACCCAGGCTGTGGCCTGGGCAGGCAGGAAGCTAATGGTAGCACCACGGGCGTGGGAGTTTGCAAATGTTGGAAGGTAGATGGAGAAGACCCTGTCCCTTGACAGAGAGCAGTTGAGACGTCCTCTTCCAAGTGTGTCCCGGCTGGTGTAACTGGGCTGTGGAAAGGTGGGAGGTAGAAGGCAAGCTGAGATGTCTGCAGGAATCAGGGTTGGGGCAGGGAGTTGGCAGCTCAAGGTGAGTGTCCCTGTTCCTACAGGACAGTGCCATTGCTGAGCACTCTGTCCAGCTGGCATTTACTATGCACTGGCTATCGAGCATTCGATTGTTCTCCTAGGAGAGACTGGTTCCTGCTTTCTGAGGGCAGTGGTGTTGTCCGAGAAGCAGCACCTGCTCTCGGGAGGCCTTTCTCTGACAGTGCTAAGCAGTGGATGCTTAAGGGCTAAGTGAGAATTTGTTCATTTGTCCCTGAAATGATTAATTGCAACCATAAGCTGAGGTCTGGAAATACCATGGTAGCAGAGAGAGATGTGCCTTACTCTCCAGGAGCTTAGCTCTTGCTCAGGAACCATCAGTGGCTCCCTCTTGTTTTTCCAAGCCGTCCCAGATGTTCCCAGTGGCTCTGCCACAGGCTGTCACCTTCCTGTCCAGCCTCTCATCCTCCCTAGACCCTCTGTGTACCCGCCTACTCTGTGCCTCTGTTCTACTCTTCTCTGCCCTGGTGAGCTTCTCTCTCCTTCACCTCTCTTTCCTAGTCCTCTTGCGCATTCCCAGATGCTCCTTTTTTCTAGAAGCCTTGCCAGATAGGTTTGCTCCCCTCTCCATACACCCATGGTGCTGGGATCTGTTCACACACTTAGCACATATTTGCCTGGTTGCAGTTGTTGGGCCATGCATCTCCTCTCTCCCACTATGTGGAGGCTCCTCAAGGGCAGGAACTGTATTGTCCTTACCTTGTACTCCTCACAGCCCTCAGCAAAGTTTATGAAGCTAACCTGAAAAGAAAAGGGGTACAGAGAGTAAGATCTTTAGAGGATGAGAGCAGGTGGAAGTGCCTAAGCTAGAGTGGTTAGGGATGGCTTCATAGGAGAAGTATCATAGGAACAGGGGAAGCATTTGAGTGATGAGGTAGGAAAAAGAAAGAACAGTGTCCCTTAGTGTGTACTGGGCTGGCTGGGGGGGCGAGAAGGTCGTTTATCTTTCCTTTCTTATCAGATGCCCTAAGGAATGGCAAGGAGATCAGGTGGCCGAATACCATGTATCCAGACCTCCACATGCCGTTTGCTCCATCCTGGTCCCTGCACTGGGCCTACAGAGACGGCCACCTGGTCAACCTGCCAGTTAGCCTGTTGGTAGAAGGAGACATCATAGCCCTGAGACCTGGCCAGGAATCCTTTGCCTCCTTGAGAGGGATCAAGGTAGCTGGAGGCTGGTCTCCTTCCTGGGAACTGCTAGGGAAACATCTCAGGGCTCTCAGGGCTCCATCCTAAAGCTTTCTGGACAGCTCATGGGCTTTGTAAGAGTTCTCAGGAGGAGGTGGGAGCCCCTTTTCCTCATGCTGTTCTTCTCTTGAATCCCAGTTCCACAAGCTCTACCCTGATGGGCTCTTTGGTAGTAGATGGTCCCTGACCCCTGGAGTTGCTGGCCCTGTCCAGCTGGCCCTGTCCTTAGCTGGCCCTGTCCAGGAAGAGTAGCCTTGACAGCCTTCTCCTTCATCTTGCTGACAGGATGATGAGCACATTGTGCTGGAGCCAGGAGACCTCTTCCCCCCTTTCTCCCCACCGCCCTCGCCCCGCGGAGAGGTGAAGAAAGGGCCACAGAACCCTCAGCAACACCGGCTCTTCCGGGTCCTGGAGACACCTGTGATAGATAACATCAGGTAGGGGTTGCCACCCTGCCTCCTCTTCCCCTGCTGTCCTCTCTCCCAGTCCTTCGCAGACACAGAAGGTGCCTCACCCATCTCAAGGCTGTCTGAGAGCAGCCCCTCCTCAGGCTTTGCTCAGTCTGGTACAAGAGTTCTCATGCTGAGCGGCAGCCCCCACCCAGGCTGCTCTGAGAGGCTGGCTCTGAAGATGGCTGCAGGCCTTCCCCCAGGGGACCCTTGAGCAAGGGCCAGGGCAGACCAGGGAGTTTCAGGACTCCACAGTGCTCAGTAAGCTCTGGCTAGCTGAGAGGCCCAGAGACTTTGCAGAGCACGAGATTCTGACCATTTCCTTTATTGGGACTAAGTGTTGCCTTTTTCTTTTTTTTTTTTTGTCTTTTTCCTTTTTATCGGTACCAGGGCTCGAACTCACGACTGCTTGCTTGCAAGGCAGGTGCTTATGCTGCTGAGCTAAATCCCCAGCCCCAAGTGTTGCCTCTTTCCACAGATGGTGCCTGGACATGTCCCTGTCTCGCCCAGTCACTGCTCTGGACAACGAGAGGTTCACAGTGCAGTCGGTGATGCTGCACTACGCAGTGCCTGTGGTCCTGGTGCGTGAGCGGGCGGAGGGGCAGGGGAGAGGACCAGACATGGGGGAAGCTCAGAGCCAGAGCCAGGTGTGCGTGAGAGCAAGCGGAGGGCCCAGTGTGAGCCTAGCAGGGGTGTCAAAGGCAGGGAACCGAGGCTGACCCCCCCAGGGAGGGGCTCAGGTTACACTCTCCCATCCTTGCAGGTCGGCTTCCTCATCACTAATGCTTTGCGCTTCATGCTCAGTGCCCCTGGGGCCACGTCCTGGCAGTATACCCTCCTCCAGCTCCAGGCAGGTTCAGCTCTTTCTTCACCGTTGTGCTTTGCTCTGACCAAGGGCCTCTCATTACTCCTCCCTGTAGCCCAGAGTCTCTCCAGGCCTCAGCTTAAGAATGCCTCAGTCCCCTTTTTTCCTGTCCTGCCCCTGGACAGCTGTCCTTTGCATTCTGGGGCGGGCCGCACGGTAGGGCTGTTCTCCCCCTCCTCCTCCCCCAGGCCACCAACAGCTCCTGAGAGCCTCCTTGGCCCACTTTTCCAGGTGAATGGCATGTTGCCCATCCTTCCTCTGCTCTTCCCCGTCCTCTGGGTCCTGGCCACTGCCTGTGGAGAAGCCCGTGTCCTGGCACAGATGAGCAAGGCCTCGCCCAGCTCCCTAGTAGGTGGTCCCAAGGTGTATGTGGGCCAGTGGCAGGACCACAAAGAGGGAACTAGCTGCGCTGGAAAAGAGGGGCAGAAGTTTGGGCGCATATGTTTGAGGACCTGGGCAGCAATCCAAGACTGACCCTTTCCATTCTAGAACTCTAGACCAGGCCAGGGTGAGGGTGACATCTTCCTGGCTCCCACCAGTGGGGACTAGGGCCTCTTGGGTGTGTGTCTCCACCCTGCCAGAGTGGAAGCCCTGTGGAGGAAGGCTTTCCTCACCCAGGGACTTCCCGCTTTGTGCAGCTGGCCAAGTTCTCAGAGGATACTCTCAGCAGCTACACAGAGGCTGTCTCTTCCAAGGTACGTTGACCATGATGGATTCTACCCCAGGATTCTACAGCCACAGACAGTCACACCCCCAGGCTGTGTCCTGGAACCCTGTGATCCTGTTCATGACCTTCAGTCTCCAGCCAGGCTCCTCTGCTCCATGCACCTCCCCCGCCCCTCCCTATTAAATCTGGCTATTACCCCGCCTGATGATGTATGACAGCGTGCTTCAGAACTCCAGCTTTGTGGCACCCCCTTGGACTTTTCCCCATTGGGGTCTCGGGGTGGTCTCTAGGGATATATGGTTATGCCTCAGATGGCCTCCCAAGACTCGCTGTCCTGCCAGGAAATGCTGCGCTGCATTTGGGGCCACTTCCTGAGGGTGATCCAAGGGACATCACCGACACTGAGCCACAGTGCCAGCTTACTGCACAGCTTGGGCTCTGTCACGGTAAGGACAGCCCTGGAAGAGGGAGCTGTTGTCCTAGGCTTGTGGGTCCAGGCTGTCCTGACTGTCACTTGAGTGGCCCCTGGGTTTTTGGACCACTGCCAAGCCCTTTCCAGTCCTGGCCTCACTCCTTGCAGGTGCTGTGCTGTGTAGACAAACAGGGGATCCTGTCGTGGCCAAATCCCAGCCCAGAGACTGTGCTGTTCTTCAGTGGGAAGGTGGAGCCCCCTCACAGCAGTCATGAGGACCTCACAGATGACCTGTCCAACCACTCCTTCTGCCATCCCGAGGTAGAGGAGGAGGTATGGCCAGCTCCTGGGGGCCTGGCCTGTGGCCATGGGAGTGGGGGTTCAGCACCTCTGAGAGCTGCCTCTGAGCAGTAGAGGTGAAGCCAAAGGACAAGCCCAGAACTGCCCCCTCTCCCTGGCTTCTGGGAGCTTCAGGACCCCGGTCCTAGGCCTATACTCCTGTTCTCCTCAGCCCCATGAACGAGACGCCCTCCTCACTGGCTCCTTGAACAATACCCTACATCTTTCCAACGAGCAGGAGCATAGCGACTGGCCTGGTGACAGTCCCAAGCCCCCAGAGCCCTACTCTCACCACAAAGTGCACAGCCACAGCAAACACCTATCTGGCTCCAACGTGAGCTTTAGCAGGGACACCGAGGGCGGCGAGGAGGAGCCCAGCAAGGTGAGAGGAGGAAGGCAAGGTGGAGAGGACCCTTGTCCACCACAGCCTATCCTGTCCCATCCTGCTAAAGGGATGCAACTCATTCAGCCTGAACCAGCAGGATCTAAGAGTACAGAAATTATTGAGTGCAGTGGTGGATACCTATAATCACAGCTACTCAGGAAGCTGAGGCAGGAGCATTGCAATTTTGAGGCCATCCTGGACATCTTATTGCAGGGGGAAAAAAGGCTGGTGATGTAGCTCAGTAGAAAGCTTGCCTATTCTGCAGGAGGCCTTGTTCAATCCCCAGTATTGTTTAAAAAAAAAAAAAGAAGAAAGAAAAATACAGAATTCAAAAGTTGCATTCAGAGACTTCTCCCTTTGCCCAGCCTGGGTCTCTTCTATCAAGTGGGCATCACCTTCCTCCAGTTCTTACCAGTAGCCTCCTAATTGAACCTTCCAAACACACAGAGCAGCAGCTCCCTGTCTGGTATTGTCCGGCTAAAAAAAAAGACCCCTCATTGTTCTCTCCCTGTGTGCCTGTCAATATTGTTGTGTCACTGGGTGTGGGTCCTAAAAACAGGAACCTAGGGGCTGGGGATTTAGCTCAGTGGCATAAGCACCTGCCTTGCAAGCAGGCGGTCGTGAGTTCGATCCCCGGTACCGGCAAAAAAAAAAAAAAAAAAAAAAGAATGAAAACAGGAACCTAAGGACAGGAAAAGGCCCTTGGGTACACCTCCCAGGGTTGTGCCCATTCTTGCAGGGCCAGCCTTGGGCAGCGGTCAAGGGAAGAGGTGGAACCAGGGCCTGACTTCTACCACCCCACCCCTGCCCTGTTATCCCCAGGCCCAGCCTGGGACTGAGGGTGAGCCCTATGAGGCAGAGGACTTTGTGTGCGACTACCACCTAGAGATGCTGAGCCTGTCTCAGGACCAACAGAACCCCTCCTGTATCCAGTTTGATGATTCCAACTGGCAGCTGCATCTCACTTCCCTGAAGCCGCTGGGCCTCAACGTGCTGCTGAACCTGTGTAATGCTAGTGTCACTGAGCGCCTGTGTCGCTTCTCAGACCACCTGTGCAACATCGCCCTGCAGGAGAGCCACAGTGCGGTGCTCCCCGTTCATGTGCCCTGGGGCCTGTGTGAGCTGGCCCGTCTCATCGGTATGGCTGTGGCAGTGGGGGTGGCGGCAGCTGACCTCTCAGAACTCCCAGCATAGTCTCCAAGCAGACTGGCCCCTGGCGTTGCACTTGTTGAGCGCTCAGTGTCCTTGCCGCGTGGGGTAGCCTGTGGTTAGCCAGACATTAGTGTGTGACAGAGCCTCCTAGTTCGGGGAGAAACTGAGTGCTGGAATGGGAGCATGGAAGGAGCTGGTCAGATGGAGTAGACTCTGTTTGCCAGGGGACTGAGGTGGCCCGGGGTGCAAGCCCTCTCCCAGGGCCCCTAAGTCCTGTGTTCATCTGCAGGCTTCACACCGGGGGCCAAGGAGCTCTTTAAGCAGGAGAACCACCTGGCACTCTACCGCCTGCCCAGTGCTGAGACCATGAAGGAGACTTCACTAGGGCGACCCTCCTGTGTCACCAAGCGGCGTCCTCCCCTCAGCCACATGATCAGCCTCTTCATCAAGGACACCACTACCAGTGAGCTTTGTACCAGCTCAGCTGGTCCAGCCAAACTTGCCAGAGCCTTCTGGGCTGGAGGCTCTGTTCCCCAATTTGTTTCAGGGAGGATGGGGCAGATGAACAGTAGACCATTCCTGAGTTCTTCAGTGTGGCAGGGACTGGACTTGGGGGCTGGGCCCACAAGAGTGGGATTGTCCAGAGGACAGGAATTACCATGTCTATGTGACTGGCTCCTTGGAGTTCCGTAATAGTTTGCTTACTGTCAAGGTTAGGCCTTGCTTACTATGCAACTCTCCTCGTCAGGGCCTCCTTGGCACCTTTCTCAGGGTGGGTGACATGCTACCTGTTAGGTCAGAGGCAGGGGTGGGGGCTCTTTTCAGGCCCTCAAGGTTGGGCTTCTATGTATCATCCCCAGGCACAGAGCAGATGCTGTCGCATGGCACGGCTGATGTCGTCTTAGAGGCCTGCACAGACTTCTGGGATGGTGCCGACATCTACCCTCTTTCAGGTTCTGACAGGTGGGTGAGGAGTTTGCCAGTCTACTTGCCTGTCTCAGTCATGGGGCATCTCAGGACCACTTACCTCCCTTTTCCTTTGCTTCCCTGGCAGAAAGAAAGTGCTGGATTTCTACCAGCGAGCCTGCCTGTCTGGTTATTGCTCTGCCTTCGCCTACAAGCCTATGAGCTGTGCCCTGTCCTCCCAGCTCAATGGCAAGTGTATTGAGCTGGTCCAGATGCCTGGCCAGAGCAGCATCTTCACCATGTATGAGCTGCCCAGCACTGTTCCTATCAAGCAGAATGCCCGCCACAACAGCTGGAGCTCTGATGGTATCGTGTGCTTCCCACTGGCTGGGGCTGTGGCTCCCAGGGGCTGGGAGTTCAGGAATTGGCTTTCAGGGAGCCATGGCATCACTTGTACAAGAGGTGCCCCAGGCCCCAAACAGGCGCTGGGAATTCAGCCTGGCCCTTCCTAGCTGGTGACATAGGGAGGCCCCAGTTTTCTTATATGTAAATTGGTGTTTACTCTGCTTCACAGGTTTGTTGTGATGTTCAAGGGAGTTAAAGCACATAAAAGTGCTTTCCTTTCCAGTATGCTGGGAGGCTGAGGCAGAAGGATTACAAGTTTGAACCCAGCCTGGACAACTTAGTGAGACTCTGTCTTAAAAGATATACAAAAGAGTTGGGGATGTAGTTCAGTGTGAATGTGCTGGGTTCAACCTCTAGCACCAGCCCCCCAAAAAAGTGCTTTTTTGAAAAAGTATAAAACTGCATGCACTTATAGGGTGCTACCTTTATTAGAATCAGACAAAAGCCTAGGTCACAAGCCCTGCTGGAACTGGGGACTCAGACCCTATCCCTTATACCCACGAAACACACATACTTAGGGGGTCTCAGGAACCCCACAGGCCATGCACTGAAACTGGCTGAGGGTGGGCTGGTTCACTGGCTTAGAGCAGGGCTGGGCAGGAGCTGAGCCATGCTCTTTCTGGTTCCCCAGTATGGCCAACTAACTGAGGACTACCTTCTATTGTCTTTTCTCTTGTGTCTCTTGGCTGTGTGTGTGTGTGTGTGTGTGTGTGTGTGTGTATCTGTGTGCGCGTGTGTGTGGTGGTTGTGTGTGGTCCCTGGGGCCTGTGTGCTCATTGATTTGGGTGTGGCATCTGTGTGTGTGTGTGTGGCCCTGGACTGCCTCCTGGAATCTGCTGGTTCCTGGGTGTCCTGATGGGCCCATGTCCCTGGCATCCTGTGGCACATTGGCTGGCCGTGTCTTGTGCCTGAAGAAGGGATCGGGGAGGTGCTGGAGAAGGAGGAGTGCATGCAGGCCCTGAGCGGCCAGATCTTCATGGGCATGGTGTCCTCCCAGTACCAGGCCCGGCTGGACATTGTGCGCCTCATTGATGGGCTGGTCAATGCTTGCATCCGCTTTGTCTATTTCTCTTTGGAGGATGAGCTCAAAAGCAAGGTAAGGAGAGCCCTCCTCCCATTCACCCCTGAGTTTTTTCCTCCAGGGCTTTTGGACCCATGGCTGCCTATGTTTTGCAGGTATTTGCAGAAAAGATGGGCCTGGAAACTGGCTGGAACTGCCACATCTCCCTCACGCCCAATGGTGACATGCCTGGCTCTGAGATCCCGCCCTCTAGCCCCAGCCATGCAGGCTCCCTGCATGATGACCTGAACCAGGGTGAGGGCAGAGGTTTTCCCTCCTGGGGGCCACAGCTAGGGACAGCCTCCTGCCTAGCCCCTCCCCGTATGTACACTTTGGAAAGAGGTCCTGATATTCGTGTCGGGAACAACAGAAAGAGTGTAAAGCTACAGGCAGGACAGGCAAGGGTAGTCCCCCAAAGGCTGGCCGAGATGAGGGACAGGCTTTTGTTCCCACAGCGTCTCGAGATGATGCAGAAGGCTTGCTTCTCATGGAGGAGGAGGGCCACTCAGATCTCATCAGCTTCCAGCCCACAGACAGCGACATCCCCAGCTTCCTGGAGGACTGCAACCGGGTACAAGGGCAGAGTCTGTCACCTGTACCCCTGAAGTAGCCTCAAGAGAGAAGAGGGCAGAGGGAAGGGGAAGCATAGGGACCCTGCACCCCATCCTGAGGCCCCTGGCCTCTGTGCTCCCTTCAGGCCAAACTGCCCCGGGGCATCCATCAGGTGCGGCCCCACCTGCAGAACATTGATAATGTGCCTCTGCTTGTGCCCCTCTTCACTGACTGTACCCCTGAGAGTGAGTACCGCGGCCCTTTCCTGAACTCTGCCTGGGCTGGACCCTGTGGGCTGTGGAGGGGATGTGGGTGTCCTGTGCAGTGAGGTGGGAGAACCTGAGTTGAGTCTGGCTGAGGAACATAGTGGGCTGGCACATGTGTGTGCCTCTTCCAGGGAGTCAGGAGTGACAGAGTTAATGTGATCACAGTTGGGGCGGGGCTCTTCCAAAGAGATGCCCACTTCCTGCTGCTTCCTGCCCTTCTGGCCCATGGATGTTTGCTGAAGCCCACAGTGGGCTCCACCTGCCTGACTCTTGTGCTTCCTGCCTGCCTCCAGCCATGTGTGAGATGATAAAGATCATGCAGGAGTATGGAGAGGTGACCTGCTGCCTGGGCAGCTCTGCCAATCTGAGGAACAGCTGTCTCTTCCTTCAGAGTGATGTCAGGTCAGGGCAAGACCCTAGGACTACCAGATAGACCTCTGGTTCTCCTACCCAGGATGGGCCTATGTGGGGCTGGGGGTGTATGCTATGGTCAGTCTTCCCTAGCTGGAACCCTGGTACCTGGAAATAGGATGCTTGGCCTGGTGGGAGATGGGGTAGGGTCTTCACAGAGTATGGCTCACATGTGGGCTTTCTGGACACTGAGCAGCATAGCTCTGGACCCCCTGTACCCATCCCGCTGTTCCTGGGAGACTTTTGGCTATGCCACCAGCACCAGCATGGCCCAGGCCATGGATGGCCTTGCTCCTCTGCAGCTGTCAGGGCAGCTGAACAGCCTGCCCTGCTCCCTGACCTTTCGCCAAGAGGAGACCATTAGCATCATCCGGCTCATAGAGCAGGTGAGGGGGCCAGAGAGGTGGTGGTGGGGGGGTGGAATTGCAATGCAGGATCCCCCTGGGACCCCTGGACCTTATACTTATCCCCCAAGCAAGTGAAGCTCCCCCAGGCAGTTGGATTTGGCTGTGCTTCGTCCTCGCAGAGCATCAGGGGCAGCTGGTCTTGGCTGAAGCTTGTCAGCTGTGGGGCCTGAGAGATCAGGCAGTCCATGGCCATAATCTATCCTCCTTGGTCCTTAGGCTCGACATGCTACCTATGGCATCCGTAAGTGCTTCCTCTTTCTGCTGCAGTGCCAGCTGACCCTCGTCGTCATCCAGGTGAGTAGGGGCAGCACGGAATTGCCCTCTGGCCACCCAGTCCTTTGTCCAAGAACCAACAGAATCTGAGGGAGGCCAGTGGTGCCGCACAGCCAGAGGGTCCCCCGAGCCTCTGTAAAACATTTTTTTTTTGAACTGGGAATCAAATTCAGGACTTTATGCTTGCCAGGCAGGCACTTACGCTGCTGAAGTAAATCCCTGGCTCAATCCATGTGGTTTTGAACATGTGTCACTGACAGAACAGTGTGCCCCATGGCCCCAGCTCCTCTAAGCAAGGGCTTGAGTGTCTGGGCAAAGGCGAGGCAACTCTGGGATCCTTGGGGTCTTATTAACTTGTCAGAATCTAATTGTGGTTCCTGGGTTCTTTCTTGGTCCAGTTCCTTTCTTGCTTGGTCCAGCTCCCCCCCGTCCTGAGTACCACGGACATCCTGTGGCTGTCCTGCTTTTGCTACCCGCTGCTGAGGTGAGAGGCCGCACCCAGATAGGTGGGGCTGGGGTGTCAGCATGTGTCCCCAAAAGCCAGGGTTCTGGAAGGATTGCTCAGGTCTCCTCTCCTCTGGTGCAGGAGGTACTGGGGGAAGATGCTTTTGTGGTCTTTCTCCCCTCCAGACTTGACACCTTACAGGATTCTCTCTTGTGAGAGCTGGGGGACAGAGGTGACAGTTACTATCCTTTTATCTACGCTTGTATTGCAGCATCTCTCTGCTGGGGAAACCACCCCATAGCTCCATCATGTCTATGGCAACAGGGAAGAATCTTCAGTCTATTCCTAAGAAGGTAAGTGAGATAGACCCCAAGGCTGGGGCCTCTCGCACAAGAATGCAGGCAGTCATAAAGGGGGCTGAATGTAAGGCACTCTGAGAGGGCCTGTTAGAGAAGGCTGCATGGATTGGTAGATATAGAGTGCCAGCACCTGCCCATAGGAGGAGGCAGTCATTGCTGAGAAAGAGCTTTGCCAGGAGCATGGTCCCTGCTCCCTGCGTCCCAAGGTCTGCCCATTTCTCAGAACCTATTGCAAGCATGAAAGAGCTAACTCAATGCCAGCCAGTAGAGGAACAGTGCACGGGAGTGACTGGCCTCTTCTTCTGCAGACCCAGCACTACTTCCTGCTCTGCTTCTTGCTGAAGTTCAGCCTCACCATCAGCTCATGCCTCATCTGCTTTGGCTTCACACTGCAGAGTTTCTGTGACAGTGCCCAGGCCCGCAATCTCACCAACTGCTCCTCCATCATGCTGAGCAGGTGGGTACTCAGGGCTCTTTCTCTCCCCACACCAGCCTGCTTCCCTGTGGCCCCACAGGAGCCTGAGCTCTTGTCTTGCTTTGACAGCGATGATGACAGGGCTCCAGCTTGGTTTGAGGACTTAGCCAACGGGCTACTGTCGGCCCAGAAACTCACAGCCACCCTGATTGTCCTGCATACTGGTGAGGGCTCTGCCTAGGAGGGCTTCTGGGGCATCAGACAAGGCCTCAGGCTGGCAAGAAATCTGATGTTCCCATTTTCTCCAGTTTTCATCTCTATTACCCACGTGCACCGCACCAAACCCCTGTGGAGAAAAAGCCCCCTGACGAACATCTGGTGGGCTGTGACCGTGCCTGTGGTGTAAGTAGTACTGGTCCGGGGGTTCTGGGGCAGAGAAGGTGCTTCTGCAGGGCTGGGATTCTGCATGGCACTTCCTGTGCTGGGGCTAGGGGCTTGATGGTCTTCCTTGAGCTGATCAGAGACAAGGAAGGACTCAGGGTGACTCAAGGCCCACATAGGACTGCTCCTCTTCCTATAGGCTGCTGGGTCAGGTGGTCCAGACAGCAGTGGACCTGCAGCTATGGACACACAGGGACAGCCCCATCCACTTTGGCCTGAAGGATGTGCCTCTGCTGACATGGCTTCTGGGCTGCCTGTCCCTGGTCCTTGTGGTGGTCACCAATGAGATTGTAAAACTGCATGAGATTCGGTGAGCTATCGGCAGGACACTTTTCTTGGAGTTCAGCACTGTTCCCTAAACCTGTCACCCTTTTGTCAGCATCTCTCCACCTACCTGCTCCTCCCATATCCTGTCCCATTCCCTGGTCTGGGGTCTACCATCAGTTTATATTTTAATTTACCCCATAGGGTCCGTGTCCGCTACCAGAAGCGACAGAAGCTGCAGTTTGAAACCAAGCTGGGCATGAACTCTCCCTTCTGAGCCATTGGCAAAAGGTGGCCAAGGTTGTCCTGGTCCCTGGGGATAAAGCCAGACCCATCTCTACATCTGGGAAGTTGCTATCATGAACGTTTCAGGGTTTGCTCTTGTGCGCTGTGGCACTTGGAGCCCAGCTGTGGTCACTGGAGACCCTACTGTCCCCAACCCCTAGGCTCACTGTGGAAAAGCTGAGGAGCCATGACCTCAGCCAGACAGGACCATCCTGTTCTTCCCTGGCCTTACCAAGGGCACTCTTGAATGTATGACCTCAGCCCCCTCACCTATGGGCTGTCCCACTTCAGGGTCCCCTCACCCAGCACCCTCCACTCTAGCATCTGTGCACAGCCTGGAAGTCAAGGTAAGGGTGTCAGCTTTTGTGGAAGAGCAAAGGTTGTTGTCGGGGAGGTGCTACATGTGTGTCTTCCCAGACAAGGGCCCAGGTGTGGCCCTGACCTCCCTCTGGGGAGTCTGAAGACAAGAGAAGCTGCCACCTTACTGTGCTGGGCTCAGCAGACCATGAGTCACTCTTGGGGGGGGGGGAGGTGTCACCCAGGTTTCCTGTAATCCTGTCCTTGTTCTCCTGGGAGAAGTTTTTATTGGTATATATTTTTTACCAGAAATGAGCCTTTTAGGAATGAATGTAGATCGGTTTATATTAAAACTTGTAAATTGCTTAAGAAAAATGTGTAGCTAGTCTATGATGCATCCATAAAACGGCACTCCCCTCGGTGGGGGATCAAAGGGAGCCCCAGAAGGCGAGGAAGAGGGTGCCCCGGGTCCAGGTCAAGAGATCATGGCACAGATCCAAACAGCCAAGTTGCATGGAATGACACTTTCATTGGTGTTAGTTGGGGAAAGGAGTTAATGGTTACATATCCTGGGCCTGGGCCAACCAGGTCAGGGCCCCAGCCTGGAGGTGAACAGTAGGGGTACTGCTGTAACCCAAGGCCCCCCCTCTACGTCCTTTCAGACAGTTAATAGATACAATAAATGCCACTTAAAATATATGCATTTCTCTCTGCTTAAAAAATAACATTTACAGTTGAAAAAGTTTGGACACTGAGGATTTGTTAATCCCACTGCTTCCAGTGAGGGGTGGTGAGAACAGGGGCACAAGCTGGCCAGGACATGGCCACCACCGTGAGGGCACATCCCTGATGCATATTTACATGTCCTATGTAGTGCTGCATATTTACAGGTCCTACCTCCTGCTTCTCAGGGTGCCAGGTAGTGAAGGGGTAGCCAGACATACGTCCTTGGCTCAGGGACTTGGATTCAGGGTGGAGGGTGCAAGAAAGCACCCCAGAACCCTGCCCTGTCACCACTTTTTGAGAAAGCTTTTCTGAGCATCTCTGGCCAGGGGCTAGGGCTGTCCAGTCAGTTATACATAGAGGGCTTGCTGGCATAGAGCGGAGGTCCTTGTACTAGTCATATCCTGACAAGTCCCCTCAGCCCTACCTCTGGGCTGTCCTAGTGACCTCTTAGGGCTGGCTAGTGTGTCCCAGCCAGACTGGCCCACCACCAGTGCCAAGGATAGTAGGGGCCTCTTCTGGACTAGGCCAAAAACAGTGGGCACTGTAGGTCACAGTGGTACACCCAGGGGCCACAGGCGGGTCTTGCTCAGTCCAGCATGGCATCCAGTTGGTCAGCCAGGGCATCGAACATGGTACTGATGTCATCGAGAATGTGCTTGGTGGAGGTCCCGGGGGCCCTATGGCAATGGGAAGGGCCCGGTCAGATGGGCCAGTGTCCTGTAGTCCACTGGCCCTGGAGAAGAAGCTGCTATGCAGTTCCTGCCTAGTATGTATACTATTAATGCTTACAACCTCCTGGGCAGCAGGGGTCACTGTCCCGTTCCTAGCAGTGAGCTTGCTGAGATTTGGAGATAAGGGACTGCCCAAGCCGGTATGCCTCAGGTGTGAGCAACGCTATCCCCGAGGTCTTGCCTGCTCTGAGGCTCTGCCTGCAGTGTCTCCCTCCACTGTTCCTGGGACCTGTGGGAGGAGCTGTTCTCCACCAGCTTGCTTTCTCTACCCGAAACCCAGCACCCAGCACCCTTACCCGGCTCGCTCTTCAGTGCTAATGCTCCTTTCTGCGGCCCTCAGCGCAGCTGCCAGGGATGAGCTGGTCTGTTCCAGTCTCTGCTGGGCCTGGCCTGCACCTGCTGCCCCAATGCTCTCTGGCCTTGGTGGAGGGATGGGGCGGGGGCCAACCCGGGGAGCCAGCTTTGGCCCAGAAAATGCCAGCTGGGTACAGGCCACAGACACAGGTTTGGGGGTGGTTCCTATGGGGACAAACAGATTGGTTTGTGCCTCAGCTGGGCTGGACATGACCTTGTGTGCCCCCCCGCACAGGCCTCAGCATCTTACCTGCTCCAGGCACCTTGAGTAGGGCGGTGGGAGCAGCCTGGGGCTCCAAGTCTGCATTCTGCTGACGGCCAGCTGAGTTTTCCAGGCCTAGCCCAGCGCAGGATGCTGGGGGCCCACAGGGCTGTGTTCCCGGACAGGGCGCAGGGGCTGGAGCTCCTTGGGCTGTAAGGCTGCTGGGCTCAGGTTGTGGAGGGCTAGAGGAAGCAGAGGCACTGGGGCTCTGGGTGGTCAGGGAGGCAGGGGGACTAGGGGTAGCACTTGCTACCCCAAAGGCCAGCAGTACTGTCTGAAGCGGCTCTCTCTCCCTGCATTTGGGCCTCCGCTTGACAGTGTCTGACTCTGTGAGGTTGAAATCAAGGCTGGGGGGCACTGATGTTTCCCGAAGTGGGGGGCCAGCTGGCTTTGGCCGTTGCTTAATAGTCAGATTCCCCTCCTCTGCGAATGGCAGCCCTTCCCCCGAGCTGCCCCGAGATGGGGGTGTCCCCTCAGAGCCAGACTCCTCTTCTTCTGTATCTGAAGCAGGGCCGGCTGGAGTCGGCGGGCTGGGGGCTTCACAAGGGCCAGCGGGTTCACTCAGTGTGCGCCTTCGCGGTCCTGTGGATCCCTCCTTGGGCCCTGGGCTCTCTTCTAGCGGAGGCGGCTCCACTGGGCCAGAGACAGAGCTGAGGCGCTTGGGGGGTGGAGGAGGAGGGCCCTTGCGACGGGCCCGGAGGGCAAAGGACTGGCTCCGGGGAGCCCCTCGAGTTGGAGTCGGGCTAGGACTGGTTCGGGCAAGGGTGCTGCGTCCTGGTCGCCGGGTTAGGGTAGCATAACTGCCCAGGGCACTGCCCGCTGGCCCTTCAGCCTCTCCCTCTGCTTCCCCCTCAGTAGGGCCAGGGCGGCTTAGACTGTGGGACCGGCGCTTGGGCCGAGGTGGGTCTGGAAGAGCGGCAGGGGAGCTGGCCAAGTAGGAGAAGGCCCGGGGTGCACCAGGAGGTGGCCCTGGAGCTGGGCTGGAGGGCGAGGCCTGCGGGTACATAAAAACATAAGGGGCAGGCCCTTGGCCAGGAAGTGGGGAGCAAAGCTTAGGGGGCCGCTCTGTGCCCTCTGGAAGGTTCCTCTCCTGTGGGGTGCTGGGGTCTGCCCCACTGGGCTGGGAGGCAGGCTGTTCCTGTGAGTGACCAGACCCCCGTGAACGTGCTCCGATGCTTTCCTGGCTGGGGGACCGGGCGGGGGGAAGGAGGAGTGGCTCAGGGCCACCCCTTGCCATGGCTGCCTGGAGCTCTGGGCTTAGCTCACTGCCCTGAAAGGTGAGAAGGCGTGGGCCAGCCATAGCCGGACCCTCTCCGTTCTCCAGCCCCTCGATAGCCATCAGCTCCGGACCCCTGGCCAGCCGGTGTCCGCCTTCACCTAGGGTCTCTCCCTGCAGCAGCCCCCGCCGAAGCTCTGCCAGCCGCTTCACACCAAGCATGAGCTTCTTTTGATGCCCTGAGAGGGGTGGACAGAGCAGCCTGGTTAGCTGGGTTGGGGGAAAGTTATGCCGAACCTCAGAGGTTCCTGAACAAGAGTCCAGCTGGGAGGCCCACAACCATCCTTACCTAGCTTGTTGACACCAATCTCCTGTAGCTCCTCCCATGTGAGGTCGGCCACCAGCCCCATGGAGTCATAGCCACTGCTCACTAGCTGCTTGTGGTACTGCGGCAGCCCCAGCGCACACAGCCACTCCAGCAAGTCCGTCTGGAAGAAGCGAGTCATCAGACCTGGCTTCCCCAACCCAGAGGAAAGGGACAGCACAAAACCACAGCCCTGGTGGGAGCCAGAGCCCCTTGCTATGGCTGCTTGCTTACTGGGATGTAGCTGGGCAGCCACTCGGCAATGCTGAGCTGAGCGATTTCTGAGGCAATCTTCTTCCTGTGCCCAGGCTTGGTCACCCCGATGGCTGTCAGATCCTGCCACACAGGGCACAGGCATCAGACTCCTCCCCTGCCTGCTGGGCCCACCCCTTCCCAGCTGCAGCACCTACCTCAGGCGTCATGCGACTGATGGTTGGCACATCATAGCCAGCCTGCAGAAAGTGAGCAGTGTAGCCCTCCAGCTGGAACTCGCTTAGCCAGTTATGAATGGCCTGTGCATCCTGTGGGGTTGGGGAGACGGAATCAGCCTGAGCCTGGCCTGGGGGGGATTTCTGTCAGTACTAAGGTCCTCTCCACCCCCCAAGCCTTCAGCACATCCCATACCGAGGCCCGCAGAGCATCCCTCAGTGAAAGTCTCACCTTCCCCTCCAGCAGCTGCTCTGGCCTCACCTCCTGGGTGAAGGTCTCCCCAGAGTGGTAGCTAGCCAGTGGGCGCTGGCTCAGGGTGTCTTCAGGTGAGAAATGGCATCAGAGGTGGCTGGGTCCTCCTCTCTCTCACCCACCTGTACCTCCTGGTCAACCCGGGTCCCATCTACCCTTCCTACCTGCCAGGGATGGGGTGTGCAGTCCTGGAAGCACCTGGTCCTCCCCAGCAGAGGGCAGGGGCTGGAGACAGGGAAGAAGCCCCTCAGTGTGGAACTGGCAGCAGGAGTGGGCTCTGTGCTGGTCCCAGGGCCCTCCCTCTTACCTGGGCATTCTCAATAAGGAGTCCGTGCCCATTGGTGCCCTCGGAACTCTGCCCACTGCCAGCACTACGGATGCTGCCCACACTGCTCTCACTGCCCACGCTGTTCCTGTCACCTGCTGTAGAGGACAGAAGCACAGAATTAGAGCCTCAGTTGGTGCTGCTAACAGCTGACTGGCAACTTGTTAAAGCCAGATGCCTACACCAATGCTCAGCGCCACCCTCTGGAAGGATGTACCTGGGCTGTCTGGGCTGAGGCCCATCCGAGGGAGCTGGCCATAGGTAAGAGGTTGTAGGGGCTCATCAGCAGGAGGCTGTGGCATCCGGGAGAAGCCTGGGCATAATGGGGTGGGCACAGAGGGGAGACGGGGCATGGGGATGCCCAGCCGCTTGCTGACCACCTCAACGATGCCTGGGGGGAAGTAGCCCACACGGTCTGTGCCTCTTTGGTTTTCATGGATGTGGCCTTTCCAGCGGCCATCAGGATGCTGCTCAAGGACCTGTGACGGGTTGTCGGGGGCAGGAAATGGTCATTCTCTGTACCAAGCAAGAGGGAGGCAGTGGTTGTTCCTATGGCCACAGTCCAGCAACTCTGGTCAAGCTCTTCCTTCATCCCATCGAGCCCATCTCTGATGGCCAAGTTTAGCCTCTGCTCCTAGCAGCCAGACCACGGAACACACAAACAGCCTGTGTTCCGGTCCCATCACTGATACTTGCTAGCTGTGTCATCTTTCCCT